GGAGTCCAGCGACATAGCCATTACGCTAACTGCTGGTTCCCCAGCCTTGCCTCTTGTGAGCTACGTAACTCCGGATTAGAACTTGAATAAAGGGGAGTATGATGGTAAAAAACAAAGGAAGCCTGGGGGAGCTAGTTTGATGGACGAAAACAAAGCAGAACTTAGACATACTGACTCAGAGTATAAAGCCCAAAATGCATTTGGTGATAGAGGACTGAAACACAGAGAACACGAGCCTTGATATTTACATATATTTGGGAAATACCTTTGAAACCGGGACGAGCAGATGACGCAATGGTTGTGTCGCTGGACTCCCACATAGTCTACCATGTTTCGAGTCCTGGACCCAGCAGCTTACTCACATTGGGCACGTGTGTGTGTGTGTGTGTGTGTGTGTGTGTGTGTGTGCCCAAGTTCTAGACAGGAGAATGGAGGAGAGGGGACTGGAGCATGGCCATCCCCTCAGGGGGTGAGTTCTCGCTTTCTGTCTCTTTCTGTCTTTCTGGTGAGTGCACACACCCTATAGCAAAAAAAACTCTCTTCAAAAAAATAAAATAACTAATTAAATAATGCCCTGTGGTAGGGCCAGCTGCTGGGAATTAAGCAAGTATTTTGGGTGTCACTGTAACATCTCAGGGGGGGAATTTAGGAACACATAAACACACAGTGTTATTGGGAAAGTCATGATGTAGTTTTCTATGGTTTTCTATGTAAAAGTGCATCTTGACTTTCCCAATAATCCTGTGTGTGTGTGTGTGTGTGTGTTATTATTCATTTCATTTTATTTATTATTATTATTGTTAAAACTTGCTATAGGGACATGTGCTTGCCGGAGAGTGTGGGAAAGTGAGAAAGCAAGCAGCCGCCAGGTCTGAAACTCGAACCACAGTCGGCCATGTACGAGTCCAGCACCTTAAATCACCATACCACCTGCTGGCCACAGATACGTATTAGTGAAGCAGCTCATAAGGTTTAGAATGGGCAGAGTTACTTTCTGAATGAATAACTTTCTAAGCAGCCCTGCTTCTCAATATACTCCAAGGATATCAAAAGCAAAATTGTTGAGTGGAGCCATCGACAGCTGATTTTATACAGCTTCCTCGGGTTGCCCGAGTTCGCTCTTGTTGCCACATTCTGTCCTCTCGGGTTGATGTGTTCAAAAGCATCTGTCAGCAATAGCTGCAGACTAGCACTTTTTTAAAAGAATTATTTTATTTCACTTTATGCATTTATTTATTTTAATTTGATAAGAGAAAGAGAATGAGAGAAAGTGAGAAAGCAATCCACCAGGTCCAGGACTTGAACTCTGGTCAGCCATGTGGGAGTCCAGCAGTCCAGCATACTTAACCATCATGCTACCTGCCAGCCCCCAGACTAGCATTTTAATGGATCTCAAAGATTTTCATCAGAATATGCTGTATTCCAATTATATGCCAGTGTCACATCTCCGGTTGGCAATGTTGACACTTGCTTCATAGAGGTGGCCGTGCAGCAGGTGTTTGAGACACACTGAGGGTAATAGCAGTTGGTGGTTGATTAACCAATGAAACACTGAAGATGATGTTTGTGTGGCCATGTGTACCCAAGTAACGATTTATGTTATTTGAAGCAGAGATGCAAACCCTGTGAATGGGAGAACACATTGCTACTTTCAGGAGCAGTGAAGGTGTTAGGTAACAAAAGCATAAGAGAGTCTGGAATTTTAAGCAAATTAAGAATCTGAAAGCTTCTTACATAGGCAACAAATTAGGAGGTAATTAATCACATTAAATGAGGATTCGCTATGCAGTTTCTTCAAACAGCCAATTCCCCTTGTCTCTTAAAGTATTTGATTAAAATTCATTACCCTCAACATCTCTTACATAAAGTACAATTCCCCTTATTGATTTCAACTAATTTTGTTCATTATGAGGAACATTTTTGCCGACGGGATTCACTCCTACAAATTAATAGGTAACCTTAATAACATCTAGTCAGAAATAAGATTTGTCCCAACTTAGCTTTATGTTTATTCATATTTTTTGAGAGGTTTTTGCTATAGAGTATGTGCGCTTGTCAGAATGACAGAGACAGAGAGACAGAAAACGAGATATCACCCCCCAGGGCAGTTGGCCATGCCACAATCCCTTCTGCGTTCTCCTCTTGGGAGCTTGGGCATGCACGCACATGCAGCTGGTGTGAGTTTAAGCCACCTGGTCTGGGTCACGAACTGCAGTCTACTACATGGAGGTCCAGTGACATAGCCATTATGCCAACTGCTGGCCCTGCTTATTTATATTTTTATGTGAGCCTTAGCATGTACTAGTTGCTGTAACTTCCTAGTTCTCTAGTTCCCTTTCTTTATTCAGAAAAAGAATGGGGAGATGGTTTCCTACTCCTGTAAGATGGTCTACCTATCTCTGACAACATATTCGGACTTGGGAAACATTCCACCAAAAAAAGTGAAACTCAAAAAAGCCCTCTCTGGGAGACTCTAGTGACAGTTGAAGCACATGGTTCAGAGATAAAGCAGGGCAATATTATGAGCTTCATGAAGTTGTGATCATTTCCAGGGCCTTCTGAGAAATGACTCGATTATGATGTGGACCTGTAGGAGATGGATGGCCAGGCAAGGTGCCTGTGTTGTACAAACACCCAAACACAAAGACATTTTTCTGGCCCAGCATGGTGGCACAGTGGTAGCACGATGCTCTATAATGCTGGAATCCACATGGAAGACCAGGTTTGCCTCCCAGGTCAATCTGTACATGCCAGGCCCATGATCTTGACTGGCTGGGAAGGCTAGAGTTTAGGCAGGTAGGAATTATGACATGAGACTCATTGAGGGTGTTTGTCTCTCTCTGAAATGAAAGAAACTTTTTTGAGAGGTTATTTTTTTTGCGGGGGGGGGGGCACAAGCAGTTAGCAT